TCAAAATTATTGACCGTTTCGTTTCAACAATATAAACAGTTAAAACTGAAAAATAGGAAGAATTATGTAGTAGATATGAGTGTAGCGTAAGAGATGTGGCAACAGCACCTCAAACTACAATCTTTCGAATCTATTTTATATTATGTATTAATCGTAAGTGTATGCTTTAGAACAATATTGCACCAAGATATATCATTGTAATAATTGAGTGCTGCTTCCTGTCTGGAAGAAACTTTTGAGCATTACTGTCGCGAAACAACTACCTTAACAGCGCACCTCCCCCTTAGGTTGACCCAAGTAAAAATGTCACAGCTCATATCGATTTAAAATGATATTACATACGAATTTGATTTTCCCACGCCACCGGGAGACACGCACCGCGTCGGCGACGACATCGGCGTTTCCGGCAAGGACGGTGTGATGAGATAGCTCCGTATTCCATACTTTCGTAGAACCTCGTCGTCCAGTCTTTCGACCGGGATGTAGTTGTAGTCACTCGCATTCACGAGGTCCAGCGTCTGCTGTGTGACGTGGACCTTGCCGGGCTCGCCGGTCTGCTCCATTTTGTTCGCTATCACCACGTCGCGCGACCAAACGTCGTACTGCCACTTGTTCGTGCCCAGGATTCCAGATATTATATTGCCCGAATGCACGCCGATCCTCATGTTCACGTCCACGCCGCTCTCGCGATAGACCCGCGCCCTCACCTCGTTGATGATTTTTATCATATCGAGGCCTATTGTTTTACGAAACAATATTTAATCGGAGAAAAGATCTGGAAATGTTTTCTTATAATTAAACACTGACCGTCGAATATCGCAATAATTATTCAGATAGAAAAGGGACTTGTAAGATTTTTAGATCTTTAATAAGTGAACGTTTGCGAACATCTCCGAATCAACGATTAGCTGAATATGTGTCGCGCGCGTCCGTTTCGACGAGTCATTTCTCGCTGGGGCTCAGTATAGATTTTAAACAATATCTCAGCAGTTCTCAATTCGTAAATTACAACTTTGCCTATTTCTAGATTTGGAGGCCAGGAATAGAGGCGCGTATTATTTCACGTATACAAAAGATCTAAAATTCGCTCGATTTCTACTGGTCGCATCGCGCTCCGTTGGATGACCGTAATGCATAAATAGACACCGCCGATTTACCGAGATCAACGCAGCTCTTGGCGTGCTGGGAATTGGGTGTAGGCACGCCGCTCACGCAGTAGTAACAGTCGCCCAAAAATTTGATTCTCAGCACATTGTGCCTCTCGGACGCCTCGTCGAAACTGCCGAACAGATCGTTCAGCGTCTCCACGAGCTTCCGTATCGGCAGCGTCACGGTCAGCCCGGAGAAGTTCACCACATCCGCGTACAAGATGCTGACATTGTCGTGCGTCTCCACGCATAAATCGCTGAAATGGGACAATCGGCGTCCCGATAATTTATATATAAACCGAACAACGGGATAACACATCGCACTTGCCGCGGAGACACGTACCTGTACCTGCCCTTCGGCGGAGGACTCTTTTTGTGCTCCTCTACGAACTTGAAGATGTCCCGGAAGTCCTTTTTGATTTTCGCTACTATGTGTTGCGGCAGTATACTCCGCGTCAATTGCTCCTGTAAGCATTGATTATTTCCACCTTCAGATATCTCCGCTTGGAGTTGGAGCTTCTACAATTTTGCACCCTCGCAAACATTCATCGCATCTTTGCAATTCTCAATTGTACGCTTATACAGGGTGTACTATATAAAACCACCGGATATCCTTTTAATCGCAGATTCTGCAGAAGATTTCAAGACGGAAATTCTAATACGAAAACATCGAGGCTGCAATAGCTTTTAGATAATGAGCGATTATATGTGCTCGTGTGAAGAGAGAAATACAGCAGGATGGCGGATAGTTTAAATCGGTCTCGGGAGCTCAAGCACAAAGGACAGGAGAAACTCAATGTATTTGATCGTGACTACGTGTTTACGTGCCCAGCGTCGCCAATTCGATTCTCGCATTCGCTATACGGAATGCTATTTATTCGCTTTCAAAGGCGAATTACTCAAATGGAGGAGGAAAGAAGACAATAGGAGAGATGTGCGAGCTGTTCGAACGCGAATCAAATTGAGTCTCACCCGATTTAATTCGATTCCAAATTGAATTTCCATAGAAATTCGCTTAATTGTATCAGCCACTGCGACATTAAATAATAAATACTTAAATATCTTTTTGCCCCGAAGCGAACTTGTATTGTGTAATTAATATTATTTTCCGATATCGAAATATTCTCTTATTATTTGTGTGTTAAAATTCGACTAATAATTGTATTGTTAATTAAAAATTAAATTCCAGTCGCTTCGATTCGGGCGAAATTGTTTCGACTCGACATAAAAAAAAATCCTCGACTCGCACATCTCCAGACAACAGAGCGAAGATAAAATAGAATAGATAACGGTTAATAAAGATTGCCCCGAAATTAGCCAATATGTCAGTTTTAATTTAACGCGTCGCAATAACGCAATTACGCCCGTTTAAACGTACTTCCTGATCCTTCTCGTAGTTGAGCCTGAGCGTCGACTCGACGCACTTCCGTCGGTCCAGGAAGGAGCGCCTGATGACGACCTCGTTCATGAACCTGAAGTAGAGCCCCAGAGCGTTCACGCACACGAAATATATCACGTCGCTGACGATCTGCGATTGGGAAGGGGAGAAAAGAAAGAAAAGCGTTCCATTCTTAGCTGCTGGTTTACTCGAGCTATCGCGCGGCGGCTTGCGTCAGCGCGATTACGCCGCGCAACGTCGGCGTAGGGTTTACCTTGGGTAAGTAGTCAGCTATGTTGTTGTAGGTGATTATTGACAGGGTCGCCAGGTAGCACATGCTCGCCGTAAGGCCGAGCACGAGAGCGTGCGAATTCTTCGTGATCGGCAGGAACACGTAGCATGCGAGAAGCGAGTGCGTCGCGTACGCTGGTCTGCAAGAAGAAGAAATAAACGCTGAATGCTGAGGAAGCGCGCGCGGCACTGAATTCGCGGATGCGTGCTTATTGATGGAAATTGAAAGAGCTAAAATCTGCTGTATATAGCGGGTTTAACGAGAGAAAAATGCGGCCACGTGCACGCAAAATGGAGATCGTAAAAGGCGGAGAGCGTAAAAAGCGTACGCCCGTATACGAGCACCAAGGATATGTTTCGATCTTTGTACGCCTTGGATTATCGCAGGTCTCTCGTATCATATGGGACTGAAGCCGAAACCATTAGATTAATTTCTTGGAGACCTTTACTTCACATTCGAGGTATGACACAAATAAATGTCTGCGACTATATGCAAAATTTGTATTATAAATTACCGTACAACATAATGTGGCTTCTTAATTTCTCAATCTTCTAACGTATCACAGTCGCGGGAGGGACATGTCGCGCGATCACGACGCGGTACTTTGTGTGAAAAATGTTGTCAAATTGATGATTGTTTCCGCGCCATACGGGCCCGGCGGAGATAATCGCGGTATCAATGAGTTATAATATCAGTCGCTATTCCGGCAATTGTTACGCGCGCGAGGACAAAAGCACGCGTCTTTATCAGTAATAAATATTTACGCGATTCGCGCCGCGCAGTTATCGGGGAATAATTTCGATAAACCGTGCGCCAAATGAGCGCTAGGAAGTCTCTACGGCTCAAGTAGTGATGATAATCGGATGCAACCTCGCGCGACTATCCCGGTCGCGCGTCGCATTATCGGTATACCTTATCGGCAGGATGCCCTCGGTGAAGGTGTAATACAGAGGTATGGTCAGATCGCAAATGACCAATAGCACGGTGATCATCCAGGACAGCATGACTGGCAAGTAGGTCTTCTTTGCGATATGCCTCGATCGGAATGACAGGGCGATCACGGGACACAGCAGAGCGCCCACGATGCAGTGGCTGCAGACGTCTATCAAGCATTCCTTCATGCCGACCTAAATCAAGAGCAAAGCTTAATGTCTTAGCGTTACTTACAAGCTTTGGAAACTTTCATGTGTATCGCTTTGGCACCTGTAAGGGCGATGTTTTATTAATTGAGGAATTATTCTAGTAGGATCGACAATAGTGTGTAAGCAGCCTAGTAGCACGATATATTGCCGCGTTATTGGGAAATAATGTAGATCTAGTATTGCCAATATTGGTCCAATATTGTAAGATGGACGCCTTCTCTTATTTAGCCAATATCCCAGGTAGCCAGCTGACGTCGCTTATCATTTTGACGTCGAAATGTTGTCAGAAATGTCATTTTGACGTCAACGGCTACCTGGGAAGCCTATTCAGCAATATTTGTCTAATATTGTATCAATTTCTGGCCAATATTCTTATTACACCCGGGAAAAAATGGAGATATTCATTATGTACAGTATGTCTCAATCATGTAATATCTAATTATATCCAATTCTAAAATCATCAGGTCTTCAGAGATCTGACACTTTTATTGAATATTCAATGTTATTTATTATTATTATCTATTGAGATCTAATTGTGTTCTCGTAGGACATTTAATTGGGCATTTAGTTAGATCGCAATAGATAACGTCAAACATTCAAGGAATATTGGACCAATATTGGACAATATTGGACAATATCGGCGAATGCGTTTCCAATATAACTGACAATGGGTCAATGTTTAGCCAACGTTTAGCCGATGCACTGTGCTACTAGGGCAGCTAAATGATATTCCGGCCTTTAAACATCGAGTTTCGAAGATCGGACAGTTAAGTAAATAGTTTTTCTTTAAAACATGTTAGGTGGAAATATTTAATTTTAGAGAGCATCAGATTCGTCCTTTTTAATGTGAACTTAAAGATAAAAATCCGTTAAAGATTCTTTATATAAAGTTACAGCTAAATTTACGTATTTCGAGAAAGATTTTTTACGGCGTGTAAATTAGCTTCGATAAAAAGATATATTTTGATATCCGACCAATTATTCATGCAGTTAAAGTTTCTAAATAAAACGAAGTGTCCTTTCTTTTTGCGAATGTTTTTAACAAATAAATAATGAGCTTACCGTTATGATCAAAGACAAGCAATACGTAAGTCCAAGTAGCAGTTGTAGTAAGATGAATATCGAAAGATAAGCATATTGTATTCTCCTGTGATAGATGGTGTACAGCTTTTCTAGGTTCTTATACTTGAATTGTTTCTGAAAGTGAAAGCTTGCGTGAGATTGCGATCGATTCGCTGAATTGCTACAGACGTTCAAAACACGGAAAGGAGCTTGTTGCGACAGGACCATTCGATTGTCACTTGTTTATAAATATTTAGCAATTCAATAGGGAAATGAAGAAATGCCAGGATCTTATTTCTACGGAAACCTAATCTGAACATCGTGACTCTTTAATCTTTTCAATTTTATGTAAAATTTTTGGAGCTTCTAGTTATGTTTCTAATATTAATTTTACAAGTGTATAACAGTGATTTGCCTCCTGATAAGAGCAATGATATAAAAGAGCACACACATCTGGTACTAAAATAAACGGTATCTTCGCTTCGGAAATAGGATCACAGATTATACGGAGTGGGTTCCGAAAGTATAATCAGTCAATATAGATTAAGGGATGAATGTCGCCATTGTGTGAGAAACACGCGCGGTTCGTGCGTTCGACGAGAACAAGCGAGCGGAGATCTGCACAAAAATCATAGTTTCGCGCCGTCCAACGGCAAAGTTATTCGCCGTTCATCTTGCACCACCATTCCTTTGAATAATTTCGTGTGCCAAAATGGAGAACGTCCTTTTATGTTGAAGCAAGACTCTCCCTTTATATTGGAAGGACGCATCAATCTTTCTTTATAGATACGCGCGAGGCACCATCGGCGCATCTTCATCGTTTCTATTATTCCCCGGAAGAATATCCGCAAACTTTTGTGCCAGGCCGTCTACACGCGGATGGAGCTTTCATTTCAAGATCCTCCATCCTCGTTCTCCAACGTCCGCGTTCCAGTTTTCGGGACTGATACTTTTCAGCTCGTCATTTCACGATCAAGGGGTGGACAGTAGCTAATTAGGTCGGCGAACTGATAGCCGCGCGCTGTTGTTCACTCTCGCTCTCGTCGCAGCGCGAGGCGACGCGCACTACGAATCCGTCACTCGGAGGATCAGTCCTACACGAGCTCTTCCTCGCGAGGAACTCGCGAGCCGCGCTTCCGCCAGCACGTCCGCCCGCACTACGATCGCACGGCGATCTGCTGATCGCGTGTGGCGCGCGCAAATTGCACGGCTAAGCTCGTAAAACGATAAAGCTGTCATCCGGCGCAGTCGCGCAGTCCCCGGCTCCTCCAGCCTGCACGAGTGCTCATCGTGGATCGCACCGCAGACTCCCGCTGGAATTGCGCGCCTTCGAACCGCTGGCGTGTCGGAATTACGGCCGAGATCGATCCCTACTGACGTGCTCGCGCGAGCACCAAGATGAGATCGGGTTCACTCGCTCCTTTCTCTTCCTAACCGAGTCTATTGCGTAAAATTCGGACGATTAAGAAGGTCGAGCACGTACCTGCGCCACTCCGACGATCCCAAATTCTTTCATTTGCGAGCTCGGGTCGCTCTAGTCTCAATGAATTTCTGACGGCGCCAGACTTTTTGCGGCAAAAATGAAAAGTTGAAGAAATCAGGGCCGAGCGCCGAGGCCTCAAGTGCCGATTGGCTGGAATCGAATTAAGCGCACACTTCTTCCGGGCGATTTACGAGACGAAAGTTCTTCGCACTCTCGCTCCCCGTATCTCGCGACACGTAACGCGAGCGAGATTATCGCGAGCACATGGACTTATCCAGTGGCATCTGCGTGCATGTCCTAAATAAAGATTCCTCCCACACGTTCGGCGAGATTTCATCATTTTGTGGTCGTCGCAATGCAAATAGAATATATTATCATCCCGGCGGGCAATATTCAGATAACGCGTGACGTGTGCTATGTACTTATCGGTTGACAGGGGGTCCACAAGATCGGGACATCTGCTTTCACTTGACGGTACTCACGTGCGTACACGGCCGGAGGGCCCGAAATTTGCGCCACGGGGCCAACGTGCGAACCCTTTCCCACACAATGCACGGCCACGCCCGTCGAAAAATCGCGTCCGTCTAAAATGCAGCGGTTAGCCAAGGTGCGCTTGAAGGCACCTCCACTTGCAGCAGCAGCAGCAGCAGCAGCCGGGGGAAACGTGCTTCCGTGCTTTCGTCTCGCGCGTGCGTTTTGTCCGCACGTTGCCGTTCGCAGCTTAGCGAATCTCTCCGTCTCTCTCTCGCTCTCTTCCGTCTCGCTGAATATTGATCTTCAATCCCGAATTCGCACAGCAGGTCTCCTTTGCGCTTCCCCATTTCACCCCTTTCTGTCTTTCACTCTCGGTATTTATTCATTGCCCTCCTCGTTCCTTTCATCCTTCACCTCCCCTTTCGGTTCAATGTCACTCGTGCTATCGCGACGACGATAAATCGTTGATTCATAAGCGATTGCCGCGCATCGGACAATAAAATTAGGTGCAACGCGTGAGAACGCGAGCTTTGCATTCATGTATGTACATACTTGAACTATCATATCCCAATGAGAACACTGACGTCGAATCAACGTCGAATCGACGTCAATGGGGTCGAAACCGCGTCCCAACCCCGGTGAGAAATGATTCGTCGAAACGACGTCGAATTGACGTCGATTCAACGTCAATCGTTTCGACATCGATTGAGTCATTTTCCGCTGGGGACCGTCGGTTTTCGAAAATAATTAGGTTCTGGAATATCGCTGAGGGATTCTGCGATGTATTGGGATATCCCGTTATCGACGGGAAGAATTTCCTCAAGCAAACAAACGCAAGCAAAGGTATATCTTCGATGGGATTATCGATTAGCAAACGCATCCGAGTGGTTTAATCGCGATTTGATTGATGTTCTCGTAAATTCGACCGTCAATGTATCGATACGTAACTTTTGCGAATCGAACAGACGCGCGAACTGAAGCAAAACGAAGTTATTCTGTGTTTACAGAAAAGTAAGCGACGCTATTCAAGTAAAGAGTGAAAAATGAAGTGGCACTACTTTCCGGTGAGAGACTGATAGAAATTATTTGCCCAAGATTGGGATCTTCTCCAGAAATATCATTATTAATTTTTATGACATTTCCTACTTCAACCGCTTTAATTAACCGCGGTAATTAACTCGCGGTCACGCACACCGCGCGAGGAAATGGCCGTGGTTTCTTGCGCGATAATAGAAAAAAAAATAGGCGACGAGAATTCTTCCGGCTTTGCCTGGCAATTCCGCTAGAGCTTGCGAGCTGACGGTGACGAACATCCTTCGAGCATTCAGATAAATCGCCGCTTGATAAAGTGCACCTTCAAAGAATTCATACTCTTTCTCGCTCGCTCCGCTCGGCGAGTCATTCCCTTCTGATAGTGGAGTCTCGTATTAAAAAATCGTCCACAATCTTGTTTTCCAGGCAACATCTAAGAGCGTTATCGATATCGGATTTTCCAAATCCCTGGTGAAATTCTCTCCGTTGATATACCTCGCACCGTGCTGACGCAATTCCATTTCATTGATGTTCATGCAAATTCGGCAGCTTATAACGTCAAGTGCGTCTTTTCCGTTCACTTTCAGCAAACAATGACTTCGACGTAAGTCACGGGTTTGCATTGAAAATCAGAGACGTACAAATCCTTGCAAATTATATTTATATATTCGAAAAAGTTTTATAGTATTTCTTTCGAGTTTCGCGAAGGAAATGAATGCTCGAGAGTCCAAAAGTCTAAAAATTAAAATAGTCGTTAATTTAATCCAAGATTTTAAAATGCAAAGTGCCCTCACGAAACTCAATAGGCTGAAGAACTTAAGATTTAAGAAGCATTTTAGCTTCTGTCCCAAAATTTGCACTTGGAAGTTCAAGAAAGAAAAATATAAGACTTTTCAAACTAAAATAAAATTTTAATATTAGAAAATGTACGATTATGAGTAGTACAATTCTAAACTTCAATTATTTAATCTCTGAATGATAATACCTAGGCAAAATGTGATAAATCTGTCAAGGACTTTCCAATCATAAGCTCGTTTCATTTTATAGAGAAAAGTCCCCCATTATGAGATAGGCTTCTAATGTGAGACTAGCAGGTTTTCAACCAAATTCAATCACAAATCTTTGTTGGCGACGATTACATGATTTAACGACGAATTTTCCGAAACAGATTCCACTTTAAAAAAAAATTTAAACGCTGTCAAATCCAGTGAAAGCGAACTCGCTACCTTCTGAGGTAGATTCTCTAAATTCGAAATTCCAAACATTCTCGTTTGCAAGTAGTAGTGTACTAGTACATTTTATTGATTCCCCTTAAGCCTAATCTACAATGCGCTTTCTGCATCCAGAAACATTCTATTTTACATAAACAAATCAAACCGCTTAAAATGATCTGTCAACCATGTACGTTTATGCAATGTATAATACACAATTTATCAACTCGCACAAATTCTTTAAATGTATTAATTGGCTACAGAATACAATGTTTCTGGACGCAGAGAGCACATTGTAGATCTGGCTTAAAACTTGCTGAGCTGGAAACATGCACAGGCACGCAATCAGATACAGGTATGATTTTTTTTTAATTTTTAACTGTGGTATGAATAATGTATATTGTATATGGATTCTAAAATAAATGCCTAAATCTAAATCAAAATAAGTATTTATGCAAATCTTTTATTTTTTAGATTCAGATATTGAAGTAGTTGAAAAACCAGGCGAAATATCTGACACACCTGAATCAGAAACTAAGGAATTAGTAGATGAGAAATTATTAAATGAGAATGAATCTGATAAGGACAGACCCATTTCAGAATCGTAGCGCTCATAACTTTTCTATTTGAATAAATAGCTCGAAGGCGAAAAAGGATATTTATGAATCAGAATTTCACGTAAGTTTAAAATTTGATAAAAGTGAAGAGGCAAGAATGGAAACGTAAAATTAAACGTAAATTAAAAAAGTAAAATAAATTGTAAAGTATGTTGTAATATCTCCTTTGCCAACTGCATTAAGAAGTTCTTAAGAACGTTCTTAAGAACTTCTTCTTAATTCAGTGGGCAGGGGAGATATTACAACATACTTTATAATTTACTTTATTTTTTAAATTTACGTTTAATTTTACGTTTCCATTCTTGCCTCTTCACTTTTATCAAATTTTAAACTTACGGGAAATTCTGATTTATAAATATCCTTTTTCGCCTTCGGGCTACCTACTTCTGGTCAAACAACACCTACCATTAGATCGATTAATCAACCTTCAAGGACTTCTTTCCAGCCTAGAATAATTAATCTCGCAGCCATAGGTTTCCGTAAGTTACAAGGCGTTTTTGAAGGAACGTGCCCAAACCTCTTATAACGCCTCTCTCTATATCCACTTCGCTATGTGGCGATCGAACGAAAAACCAACAACGTTTTGGTTTGGTTTTGAACCCGGGTCTTCGGATTACCAGACCAGCGCACAATCCTCTGCGCCACGATCGCCACAAACAGCTTCCCACTTCAAAAGCAATAAATTCATGGTGGAACCAATAGATGATGCTTGTTAATTTAACGGAAACCCCGCTATCTCGTATCAGGAACTTGTCTCATAATAAGGTACTTCCTCTACAGATGTTTTTCAGATTATGTTCATTATAAAAAATGATGTCCTACCATCTAAATCAATTAAATATAAATATAAACGCATGTTCATGTAAAGTACATTAATAAAGGTACGAGCAACAAAGGAAGAGGGTAATAAGGTAAAAAGAAGTTATCTAAATTCCGGGGCAACGTGGATATGACGCCGAGTGGCATATCACGAGATACAAAAACAAACTAAAGTACCCATCCTCGCACACGATTGAGGTTTTTCAAACATTCGCCGATAAAGACGGATGGTACGAACGTAATTAATCAATCGCTTACCCTCAGACCAGACCACGTCCATTCGTCGAAGCTGTTGGGTGAGATAATGCGGCCGTCGTCCACCTTCTTCAGCGAACACAGTGACGCCCGGGTCACCAGTTCTACGTTGATCGATTTCGGCATACTCGAATTACCCATGTTGATGACGGCCGTAGGAAGACGATGACGACGGCAGTGACAGCGAGCTCGCAGCTGTCGTATTCATCGCAATGTCAGATTCATCTGCGACTGGTGAGCGACCGCGACGAATTGCAAAAGTGAATCACCCCGAGCGTCAGGTTCCGCGATGATCGCGCCAAGCCAAGCCCAGGCTTATCGTGATAAGAGAAATGGGCCACTCGAAACGCTCCCCCTGCGACTTTCCTACTTCGTTCCTCTCTCTCCTCCCCTCTCTCTTTCTTTCCCTCTCTCTCTTCCTGATCAATTGTAATGCACGCTTCGGATTTTTTATATTTGCAAACTCTGGTAGCATAAGCATCGATCGTGGATGACAAAGTGACCAGCGGGAAGAGTTCGAGAAGCGTTCGCGTTGTCGGAACAGCCTCGTTTCTTGAGGCAGGCGAGTGAGATGTATTTCTGGACGGAAACACCTTTCCGAAGAACTCGCACGGATCTCGGAAAGAAGAACACAAATGCCTCGATAATAACGTAATCAGAAACATCCGCCGCCCGCTGGCATTCCAGAGGAGATTCGCGTTTCTCGTCGGCGTCCCCGTATTCAGTTCACTTCGCGTCAAAGAGCACCGATATATCTATGTCCTCTGCGACCGTCTCTCTTTTTAAACTTTTAGAATTTAATAAATAATAGGATTCGCGGCAGGTTGCATCAGGCAAAATGTGCGTCGTCGCGAATAGAACTTGCAAGTTCTTTTTGCCCTTGAACGTCGCATTCCCGAGGCCAGGCAATCGATCCTCGCTGCGTCCGAAAGACTGGATTCGTCCTGAAAAGAAGACTCGTATTTGGTATCACAGAGTGCCGCCGCGGAAACGTTATAGCCATCGTGGGAGGAAAAGGCAACAAGAACCGAGTACTGGAAAGCTTAATGCAAGTTCGAAATATCTGTTACGGAGAATAGTTGGAAATATCTCATTATATATGTCTCAATCGTGTAATATCTAATTATATCCAAATCTAATCTCATCAGATCTTCAGAGATCTGACACTGTTATTAAATATTCAATGTTATTATCAATCGAGGTCTAATCATGTTCTGTTAGGACATTTAATTATAGATCTAGTTAGATCTCAATAGATAACGTCGAACATTCAACGAAAGTGTCAAGTCTCTGAAGATCTGACGATTTTTAGAATTGGATTTCATGAGATATAAGTAGATATTACCCAAGAAGAAGTGAAAAGTCAAGATGACGTCAATTTCATGTCACATTGACCAAAATATGACATAAATTTGGTCAATGTGACATCAAATTGACATCATCTTGACCTTGATTTCTCCTTGGGTACGTGATTGAGATGTACACTCAGTCCAAAAAAAAGCGGTACACCTAAAATTTGTCAAAAAGTCACCAAATTTCGAATGACGATAACTACGCGAGTAATAATGATAGAAAGGTTTCTCAAAGAAAACAAAAGAAAGAAATAGAAGCTTGAAATCTCTACTTTAAGAATCGATATATCAGAGTTTTGCGAGATAATTTTTGTCAAAATGGCGGATGACAAAACGAGAGGATGCAAAATTGAAAAATTTTCGTCCGAGTTTGCGACGATCCATGGCGAGAGGGGAGTGTTGCAACTTAATGGGATAAAAAGCATGCGACATTACAGAGTCTCCCCTTCAAAATGCTTTTTTACTCGTTTCGATACGATGATTTTTCGCTGCGATGTGTGCATTTGAATAAAAAAAGGTCAGTATTTACTTTAAATGCGCATATCTCAGCGAAACATAGTTATCGTCCATCGAAATTTGGTAATTTTTTTTACAAATTTTAGGTGTACCCCCTTTTTTTGGACTGAGTGTATATAATGAGACGTTTTTCCCGGATAAAGAAAAGACAAAACCAAGGGAAGATGGTCGACGGCGTCCCCGTAAAGGGAAAACATTTAAAAGAAAAAGGTATCTTCGAAACCTTCACTCCTCGTCGCATCCTTGCCGGTTAATTGTATGTATCAAAGATTAACCGAGTTACATTTCGTTACGATAACGCGACGATCAACAAGCCGTGGCCTGGACGCAGAAAGTGAAACCTACGAAGAAGCGAAGAAAATATTTTCGTTCGTGCCGCTGCGGTTGGAACAATTTTCGCTGGTCATCGCGAATGTTTTCATTGTCCCCGGGCACTTTCTCCGCCGCGCGCTCGCGATATAGATGCATCATTTACCATCTCGCGTTGCGGCGCGCGAAGCGTGACCTCAACAACGATCGCGTGTTACCTCACGATCAGAAGGCTCTGCGATCACCTTGATCGCTGAATCTCGGCTGCTACGAGCTACGATAACGTAGAGCGAAAATAATAGGCGTTGATGCCGGATAGAGATGGCCGGGCTGATTTTGGCGAGCCATAATTACGAACAACTGAGCAACGATAACAATGGAGGGGAATTGGTTGCGCGAGTAATGGGCTGCGTTCAGCGGAAAAAGCTACATTGCAACAGTTGTAAAATTCGTAAATTTGATTGGAGTGTACCCAGATAGCACAAGACACTCCTATGAACATTTTAAGAATATTCTTCAAGAATTTTAATAAGTATGGAAACGACCTTGCTGGCAATTATTTGTTATAATAAAACCCCAAGGAGAACAAAAAGTCAGGATGATGTCAATTTGATGTCATATTGACCAAATTTATGTCAAATTTTGGACAATATGGCAAAATTTGACATAAATTTGGTCAATATGACATCAATATGACATCATCCTGACTTTTTGTTCTCCTTGGGACACAACGGTACGTTTCGGCCAGTAATACTTCGGGTAACAAACTTTCTGACTTCTAACTTAATTTTCACATCTCTAATCTGACGAATCTTACGTTCGTAGGCACTCGTGTAAGTTTGTTACCTGAAGAGGACCAGTATTACTGGCCGAAACGTTGTGTTTTATTATAATAAAGAATTGCCAGCAAGGTCGTTTCCGTACTTATTAAAATTCGTGATTTCTTGACTGGCGTCACTAAGCTGCTATTTAATTCCTCAAGAATATATTTGAAATATACCATAGGACATTCTTATATATTTATCTTATGTTCGTAGAACATTCGATAAATCTTTTTGATGTCGATTCGACATCGTGTCGACATCAATTGACAAGTCATTTTTCGGTGGGGAAGAATCAATTTCAAATTCGCTTAGAGCCCGAAGTAGTTTTACGAGTGACGCACATCCCGCGCCGAGAAACAGAATGGCTTAACGTCGTCGACTTCCGTTCGCCGCGATCGAAGCCTGCCGAGTGAAAAATGATTCGTCGAAACGATTCGACATCGACATTGTCAAATTCGACATCAATTTAACGGCGTCGATGTCGATCAACATCGTTTCAACATCGACCGACGAGTCATTTTTCGCCGGGTCCCTCGATACCCACCTAATCAGCTCCACTTCCGGACGGAGACTTCCGGTCAGCCAACTACTTTCGCGGCGAACACCACGGCGCAGGTGCGCGATTTTTGCGCGCGTCTCTTTTTCCTCTTGTTTATCTTTCTTTTCGCACAGACACGTCACTCCTCTCAACGCGCGTTACTTTCGTCCGGAGGCGCGCGCGAGAGACTCGCCGGCGCTTCGCCGCGAGAAATGAAAGAAGGAGAGAGATGAGACCGCTTTTCACCGCCGATATCGCCGCGATGCACGGTAGCGGGCTCGGCAGGTGTGACGACGAGCGGCGCGACGCGGGTCGCACATCCGCGGCTTCTTTTCGATTCGAGTCATGGTGGAGACCCTCGAGCCTACAGCACGCATGCATATCGCGCTCTCCGTCCGAAAGCCCTCTGGACACCCCGAAGATTCTCGCGACCCTCAGTAGCTCTTTTTACAACCCCAGATAGCCAGTGTGAGCACAAGTCACTTTCACATTGCTTAACAAAAATGTTAGCATCTTGCTATGCGTCTATGTCGTCTATTGTGCTCCTAGTGCATTGGCCAAACATTGGTCTAATGTGGGCCATGGAATAAATGTAAATATTGCGCGATAATAATTATATAATATTAGATTTATATTGGCGGTACATTGGCCGATGTTTATCAATGTAATTAGAATATTGGTCTAATGTTGATACAATATCAAACCAATATAGCTAAATAGACACATTGGCTAGATAAGAGAAGGTATCCCAGATAGCACAAAGATGAACATATAAGTTCATAGAGAATTCATTTTAAAGAAAACATACAGAATTAGAAAAATT